CTCTCTGGCTAAAAATTCTAAGTACCCCTCTCTAAATTGCAAATCCTAAGATAGGTAGGAACTAAAGTGGAATAATCACTCTATAACGATGTAGGCTAATATTCACCTCCATCCTTTTTAACAATTCTTGAAAAAAAAAACATTCAGAGCTGTAGAAAATAAAACCAGTCAAGATTTATTATATAATAGAAAAGTTAGGGAGAGACAGCATGGCGTAGTGTTTTGAGCATTGGACTATGACTGTGGAGACCAGGGCTCAAATCCCCACTCAGTCATGAAAACCCACAAGGTGACCTGGGGCAAGTCACATTCTCTCAGCCTCAGAGGATGGCAATGGCAAGGGCCCTCTGAAGAAACTAGCTAAGAAAGTCCTGTGATAGGGTCGTTTTAGGGTTGCCATAAGTCAGAAACAACTTGAACGCACACAACAACAGCAACAAAAAATCCACAGAAAACTGCAGAAATGTGCATTACGGCATGTGTGGCCGTTCGTCTGCTTTGCATGGATTTGGATGGCTGTGAATTTTCAGCAGAGGGAGGCTAAACAGATGTGTATAGATTTGTGCAGGAAAGTGAAGACAATTAATCATTGATGTGAATGTGCAAAATTCCATAGCAATGTGCATAATACACTTACGCATAGTCTAGCCCAATGGTTCCTACTTTGGTCATGCAGATGTTTTGGACTTCAGTTCTCAGAATTCCTTACTGTTGGCCAAGCGGGCTGGGGCTTCTGGGAGTTGAAGTCCAAAACACTTGGAGGACCAAAGTTTGGGAATCACTGGTATAACCTGTAGTGTCTTGGGTCAGCCCATGGTTTGCTCACCTTTCCAGACGTGAAGCGGGATGATGATCCATGCACCTGGAGAGGCGATGTTGTGATCCCCACCTTTCCATTTGACCTTGGCGCAGGTGGGTTCCAGACCAGTAAATCACTAATCGTTGTGCTCAGAGGCTTTCTCCCTTCTCTTTGGGATCTTCTCTCCCTCCTCGCCTTCCTTCGTAGCTGCAACAAAGCCTTGAACTGTACTTCAAAGTGGGTTGTGTTGTTTTTTTCCAGAGAGAGTCACATACCTTTTTAAAAATAGCTTCCCCTCCTTGCCAAGTACTAAATGAATTGCAGGGGGATGCAAGCGGTGGGCAGGCAGGCAGATGAGTTCCTCCACATGGCACTCAAATCCAACAGCTCTAAAACTGGGCCGCTTTGGCACGGCCGCTGTTGACAACCCTCAAGATGAGGAAGTTGTTGTTTAACTCCCACATCCTCCTTTTGCACAGAAGTAGCTGGATATGCTGGACCAAATCTGGGCAGTGTCTTACATATATTGGATATTTCCCTATGGAAGTAGTTGGACACTTTTGTCCAACACGGAGCGGCCGTGTTTGCAGGTTGCAGAAGCAAAGTTGTGCAGGTTGCCAAAGCAAAAGTTGCAGAAGCAAAAGTTGCAGAAGCAAAGTTGTGCATGTGACATTCCTGCCTGGGCAAATGGACCAGTGTAGCTATGGGAGTGTGGCCAAAATGAAGGCATTGCAACCTAATAAAAATCCTGTCCTCTCCCGTTAAATTTTCCTTCATGACCCAAATTTCCAGAGCTACAGAAAATGAGACATTGATCATCATTCACACCTAGAACTCTTCTCTATGCTGTGTTCACAGTCTTTGAGTCTGTCTCTCTGCATCTTGGCTTTGGATGTTTCAACTGTGTATCTGTCTATCTACATGTTCTGCTGAAGCTTTAAGTAACTTCAATGCTAGAAAGAGTCAGCATGGCATATTGGTTTGAACTTTGGACTTTGACTCTGGAAACCAGGGTTTGATTCCCCACTTGGCCATGAGTCCCTATACCCAGAGAAGGGTGGGATATAAATAAACAAAATATTGATGATGATGATGATGATGATGATGATGATGATGATGATAAAATCTACTGAGTGACCTTGGGTGAGTCACATACAGTCAGCCTCAGGGGAAGGCAATGGCAAAGCAGCAATCATGAATACACTTATCTAGATTTACTCATCTGAGGAGGTGTTTTCATTAGTTTTTATACATTTTCCATATGGAATTTTCCACATGGCTTTTAGCCCAAAATTTCCTTTAAAAGATGCTAATTTTTTTTTGCAAACAATAGCAGATTAGGGAGCTTCTGGGCCCACAAAATAGGAGTCCAAGGGCGATATGTGGCCCATGGGTTACATTCTGTCCACCTGTGAGTATATCCCCCCTCCAAACACATGTGTTCTGTTTAGCATTTTTAGAAATGCACTTCATTTTGTGCACACTTTCTCAGAGGTGCTGTCTGCAAATGCATGAATACTTGAGGTGAGGGACACTGTTTATCAGAATGAACCGTTGAAGGTGTGTAATCAAAGTTGCCAATTTTCTTTCTATCCCTTCTCTGCACTCAACAACTTTTCAATGATGTGCATGTAGAAATCCTTCCAAATTGGAACTAGATGGTTTGTATTTGAATCCCAGGTGGGCCTGGTGAGAGGCTGACAGACTGGATTCAGGATGGGAATCCTGTAACTTTAATCCTCAACAGATCTTGGAGCAGGATGGAAAGAGCACAAACTGAACATGAGCCGGCAGTGTGATGTGGCAGCTAAAAAAGCCAATGTGACTCCAGCTTGCATCAATAAGAATATCATGTCTAGATCAAGCGTAGTGCCATCCTGTTCAGCTTTGGTCAGATCTCACCTGGAATACTGCATCCAGTTCTGGGTGCAACAATTCAAATAGGACATTGACAAAGTGGAGTGTGTCCAAAGGAGGGTCACCAATATGCTTGGATTGTGTCTTCCTGCATGGCAGAATTGGGTTGGACTGGGTGGCCCTTGGGGTCTCTTCCAACTCTAGGATTCTATGATCAAAATTAGAAGATTCCCATCCTGGATTCAGTCTGGCAATCCTAATCTGATCCAGGTGATCAGCTTCCCTTTTGCCCAGCAACTCATTCCTCCCTGGCTTTTGGAAAAGGAATTGTGTTCACGTTGTAAAGGCAAAATCTATCTTTGGCCTCTCTTTCTCCCATCTGCAGGGTGGGGCAGGTCCTCAAAAGAAGTGAAATAGCTCTGGCTTTGAATAAGGGCCCTCCAAACCAAGAGTGGCAATTTGCTATCTGCCGTAGATGGAACTTGGCTCCTGAGGAAGAAGGAGGCTGCATTTAAGTCTGGGAACAGCTCCCCTAGCTAGCTGTATGCTTTTTTTGGAAGGCTATGTTGTACTTACAGAGGCTAGGAGGTTGAGTAGTAATTAGAATCTCATCCTGGGTTTTCTATGTATGACTTTTCCATCCATGATGTTGACAGGTTGGGTGAATGGCCGCCGCCTCTGTAAAGTCCAAAATGTTCAAAACAAGACCTTAAAGGACTCCCTGCAGGCAAGGACCACCTTGACTATTTCATCCTCATGTGCAAGAATAAAAACTTAAAGTAGCTTTCTCCCTATTGCAAAAGTACAGTGGGCCCTTGGTATCTGCGAGGGTTTGGTTCCAAAACCCCCTCATGGATACCAAAATCACCATTAAATACACTGGTGTAGTAAAATGGTGTCCTTTATATAAAATGGCAAAATGACATGTAGCTCTTTGGAACTGATATATTTCTGGAATATTTTCAAGCCTTGGATGCTTGAATCCATGGATAAAGACTCTGTGGCTATAGAGTGCCGCCTGTAGTTTAAGACAGCAGGGTGCATAGGAGAGGAAGGGGACAGGATCTTATCCTTCCTAGTAGGCTCAGTCAAAAGCAAAATGCTGCAACCTCTCCTAGCTTGTGTGTTCTTCTTCATTAATAACTTTTGCCAACTTGGTCAAACTCCAGTGTTACTTGGCCATATGCGTCCCAGATTTCATGTATGAAATGTTGGAGGCAGTGTGGTGCAGTAGTTTGAGTGTGGATTAGGATTCTGGAGACCAGGGTTTGAATCGCTGCTCAATCATGGAAACCACAGGGTGCCCTTGAGGGAGTCACACACTCTCAGCCCCAGAAAGCCTCGTGATAGGGTCACCATAAGTCAGAAATGATTTGAAGGTACACAACAAAAACAACAATGGATATGTACACTTTTCAATGGTGGGCTCTCACCCTGAGATTCCTCACCTTGCCTATTGAGGACTGTTGAAGAAAATCCAGAGAGCTGGGAATGCTAGCCACCTGCCATCGCTGGTGGCAAGCCTCTTTGCCCGTGTCTGTCAGCACTTTGACTTTTCCTTCCCTCTCGCTCTCCAAAGGTCCCCCCTTGCAAGCCCACAAGGGAAGGCAGGATGCCCAGCTGGAATGGATTAAACATCTGTTCTGCTGTAGTCTCTGATGAAGACAATGTGTTGATCTGGAGGGAGGAACCTAAAGGAGGAGTGAAGACAGTAGCCTGAGGATCAAAACAGCAAGGCAGGAACAGTCCCCCTGCCGTCGCAGGGGAAGAGGTCATCTGTGGGCATTGGTGCCCCAAGTTAGTG